GTTGGGGTTTGGACTCAGGAGTGTTGAGATTATAGGTACGTACTGCCGCTGTGTCTGTGTTGTGTGTGAGTGTTGGGGTTTGGACTCAGGTTCCCATGCACAACAAGCGGTTTACCAGCTGAGCCGTGTCTCCAGCCCTCGTCTGACCTTTCCTCTGGATATTGCTTTTCCTTTATTACTAGTGTACTACTGTGCTCCTTTTAATTTCACACCTGTTAGTATGTATTCTCTGTTGTGAATAGGTCTTCTCAGGATTCCTGTAAGATGACTGTCCCAACCTTTTAGCCTTTATTGTGGATTTACTTCTTGTACTTAATGATTATTTCAAGGGGGCAAAAGTCTCTGGGTTACGACTTTGTCCTTAAATTATCTGCTGATTTAATAAATGGGCTTTGGTGTTTGGTGGTACCCTGTTTTCATTCTGTAAACAGCCATTCTCTTTCTTTTTAAAGGTTTATTTATTTATTTTATGACATATGAGTACACTGTAGCTGTCTTTAGACACACCAGAAGAGGGTATCGGATTCCATTACAGATAGCTGTGAGCCACCAGGTGGTTGCTGGGAATTGAACCCAGGACCTCTGGAGAAGCAGGAGCAGTCAGTGCTCTTAACCACCGAACCATCTCTCCACCCCCTACCCACCATTCTCTTTCTTGATGTTTTCTATACAGGCCTTGTAGTTGCTTGTTTGTGCATTGTCTTTTCCTGGTTTTGGGGAAAATTTGTGGAAATTCCTGTAACCTGGCTTTATTTTATTTGTCTGTAGATTTTCATTGTTTAGTTTTTTTCATGTCTTCATGGGGTTTTACCGATGCTCAAAAACTTTGGTACTGCCTGCATTACTCCAGAATCAGAATTTCTAGTTTGACAAATTTGCTCAGTTTTAACTTTGTCCCAATTCTCCTTGAATTATAACCATGTCAGCTGCCATTCTATATTGATAGCCTTACAGTGTTCAAAACATTCCTGAAAGGATGGGTCCGAGACACTATTACTACTGCTACAAGAGTCACCAAATGCTCAGTGTTGTGGAAGCATACTGACTGGAAGGAGAACAGATACAGCTTGTGTCTGTTCATCACTGCTCAAAAATACATTGTATAGACATTGGAGAAACTTGAGAGTAGCAGTTAAGATTGTCAGAGTAGTTAAGAGTTTCTTAAGTCAAAACCAAGCCAAAAAAAAAAAAGGCAATTTGTTTTTATGAGGAAAGAAAGAATGAGACATGGAATGTGATTCTTAGTATGGCAGAGGCACGTGAATGATGCCTTACATTGGCTGGTGTGTGTGAGACGCGGAATGTGATCATTATGACTGAGGTACATGCATGATGCTTTCCTGACATTGGCTGGGAACTTCAGTGATCTTGCTGCCCAGCCATGGCCCAGTGCTTTTGCTTTTGAATTGTTATTATTAAAAAAAAAAAAAATCACCAATACAAGTAAGATCCTTGGTAGCTTGACAAACTGTTCTAGACATTTGTAGCATTAAGAACATGTTACCTTGCTTGCTTAGCTTCCTCGATTAAAGAAATCATACTGGATTTTCATATAAATAAAGATTGGCTTTATGTCTTGTATTATGTTTCTTTAAAATCACTCCTAATTTTCACCTTTTAAAAATCTTTCACAGGCTTCAACAAATAATGAAAGTTCTAATCACAGTTTTGGAAGCTTAGGATCTCTAAGTGACAAAGAATCCGAGGTAAGTAATTTTATTTTAAATGTGGTGTCAGGAAAGTAAGACCTCACATTGTCTTTGAAATGAACGTCTCTTCCCTCCCCTTCCCAACCTTGCTACCAAAGGTTACTATTTTAAAGTTTTCTTTTAGAAATTTTTGTGTAGTGTTTTTTTTTCTTCCTCTGGGGTGGTGGTGATAGGGAGTGAGGGTGGCCTTAATGAAGCACAACATTGAGATTAAGGATTATATTTGGCATTAGAAAGAATACAGGTTTTTCTAATTTTATAACTTAATTTACATGTGAATAATATAAAGGTGTTATCAATGGAAGACCAGCCATTCATGGTTTTTTAAGATGAACGTGGGTTTTGAAGTATTTCATAGTTTTTAAATTATTATTTTAGTATTTCCTATCTTAGTTTGATCTTTTATAAGGGTTTGTGTACTTTCATAGTTATAAAAATAGATCTTTCTTTGTAGGATTTCTTGTGGATCAAGCTGATGGTTTTCATTTTGCATATTTTTTTAAAAAATGTGATAAATTCCTCTTGCTAGCACCCATTTACTGGCCTCACCAAGAAAGTAGGTGGTATTTATAAGTGGACATTTGGGTCCCAGTTTGGTTCATTCTGTGCATGAGACACTTGATGGCGTCTTCTAAAAATGGTGGACACAAATGTATTTGGGTTTAGCATTCTTGTTTTGATAAAGTGACTTTTTGTGAGTCTAGCCTTTTCCCTCCTTGGGTTATACAGTTCTGTCCATTGATTTTAACCAATTTACGTGTGTATGTATGCGTGCATGTATATGTTTGTGTTTTTCCTGTCAATGTAACACATTTGTACTGGGTTCCTTTAGACTTTTTCTGCCAATAGGTTGTTAACACTTAGGAATTCTGACTGCGTTTAGCTTCCTTGTTCAATGGAGAGAGAAACTCAAAGGTGGCTTCTTTTTAGCTGTATGTTATTGAGAATCTAGAAATCTGTAGGTAGGCAGTTCTGTGCAGCTGTACAGGCACCCTACACTCCATAGGAGTGTGGCATAGGTCCTCACTCATCAGGCTTTCCCTTCCACAGAGACAACTGGCAGGCAGCTGAAAGGACTGTGCAAGTGACGGGACTTTATCTGCAGTAGGTTCCCTTGAGGTAAGCGGTAGCTGCCCTGTAGCATCAGTTCACAGTTTAGTTTTCAGATGAGCACATGTGTACTAAGACCTTAAAAACAGCTTAGTTTTCAACCAAGTGGAGTTAAAAACAAAACAACATATCAAGAATATTTTTAGTTTATTTCTTCTGGACTTTGAAATATTCTTGATATTTTTCATAGATAACTATAATCAGTAATTTCACATGTTCTTTCATAATCATGTGTTATGAAGAGCAATAAAGTAACTTTAGATGTTTTTCCTTTTTGTTACATGTTGTTTTTTAAACAGCAAAATATAGTAAAAAGTTAGGTTCCCTTCATAGGGGATAAAATGTTTTTATATTTCCTTAGTTACCAATATTCACAACGCAGGTTATAGATCAAATATTTGGATTCTTTTAGAGGAATGAACCTAATAATAAAAACTTCCTTTAAAGAACTCCATGACTACCAGGCAGTGGTAATGCATACCTTTAATCTTAGCACTCGTGAGCCAGAGGCAGGTGGATCTCAGTGAGTTCAAGGCCAGCCTGGTCTATAGAGACAGTTCCAGGATAGCCAGAGCTACACAGAGAAACCCTGTCTCAGGGAGACCAAAAAATAAATAAAAAAGAATTCCATGGCTATATTTTTAGATGGATTTTAACTAGCTGTATTACTTGTACATAGATTTATTTGTGTAGACATTTTGACATTTGGGGCAGCATTAGGAAATCTTGAAAAATCATTTGGCTTTTGCTGTCCTGTATTTGTATGTGGGATTTTTACAAATTGTTAGTTAAGCCTCGTAGAACAGTATTTTGACATTTCTTCAACTTGAACATATTCACTAATATCCAAAGAAGTGACTTTCATTATTCTACATCTTCTTGTCAGAAGTTGCTTATCCAGAAAATGAATCTCAGGTTTTATCTCTATAGAAACCTTAATTGATGAGTTTCTTTGAGAAAATAATTTTATGTATACCAAATACAAATGTTCCTAGATTATGATTTAAGGCATTGGGAGTAAGTGGTCTTGAGGCAGCGGTATCTTTGGCACTAAGTATGCTGATAGTGTAATCTAGGTAGTATCCCACTGTCTCCTGACAGGACTTTTTTTTTTTGTAATCTGTTTCCTGATTGTTATTTTTGGGTTGGAAACAGGGCCTTGAGTCTGCTTGACAGAAAGATAAATACTGTTGAGCTAATATAGCACCCTAATACATTTTTATAATAATAGTGTTTTGTTTCTGTAAGCAGATAGCACTGAAAGGTTTGTTTATGTCGTTTAATTAGCTGCCCTCACCTAACCACACCCTAACCTCAGTCATTTTAACTTTTTCTCCTGGCATTTACTTACACGTTAGAATAGAAATGTGTGCATACTGTTGCTCTTTTAGTACTTAGGGTTTTAACTTACTCTTTCCCCACTTGTTTTCTGTTCACATACCCAGAATCCTATTTTCTTCTGTCTTATTATTATTAAAACTGAAAAACACCTTATATAATCAGTATTAGGTTGATTTAATCTATTTTTAATTTATACTTTTAGTTCATCTATACACATATAACTTATTTTTAGATGTAGGATTACAGAATAAAAACCTTTTGTGGGGGTTGGAAAGTTGTTACATCAATAAAATGTACTGTGCAAAAACAAGGAATTTGAATTCTTAGTTCCCACATAAAAAACTGAGTGTGGTGGCATGTTCCTTGTGCTCAGGGGAATAGACAGATCACTGGGATTTGTTGAATTCTGTCTGAGTAATTCTAAGTTTGTCTGTTGGGGATGAATAAATGAGATGGTACTACAGGTAGTACTAGTGATAAAGACCCAGAAGTCTCTGACATGGGTGTTAATAAATGCTTAGGTCAGATGAGCTCATCTTACAGTGCAGTCTGAGGGCTCCTGAAACATGCTTCAGAGAGGTTTTTTTGTATCTTTTCTAATACATTCCTTTCTCTTTTTTTTAGAGTTTTTAGAGAATTTCCAGACTTTGTGACACATGGTGCTATCACACTGGTGATTTATATGTACATTATGTATTTGTATGTCCTAGTGTGACAAAAATCTTGAAGTAATAAAAACTGATATTTGTAACTCACCCAAATGAGTTTGGGTTTTACTAGCTGTTTTCTCATTACTGTGGTAGACTACCTGACAAGAACAGCTTAAAGAAGAGTTTTGCCTCCACCTTGCACATGTTAGGGTTTAATCTGTCAGGTTGCTGGGGAATGAAGAAAATGATAACGTTGGGATTGGGTGGGCTGTGTGCTTCAATGAAGATGTACCAGCCTCAGCCAGGAAACTTGGTGTGTTTATTTTATACATCTGAGTGGAAGAGACGGGTTTATTGTATATGGCCAAAGAGGAGGTGGAATTATTGTATATACCTAAAGAGGCAAGTTTAGCTAATGTTGGTAGGGGGTCTGCAGGGGAATGTAGGCTCAGGTAGTATCACATTTTGTGCACACACCATCAGCATGTGCACATGGATCAGGGCGTTGGGGTCCTTGACATGGCTCTGCTCACGGCAGCAGCGCACATTATTCAAATGTGGGATTGTCCTTGGTTATTGGTGTTCATTTCCATAAAAGTGGGAGGGATATGCTCATCAGTCTCCTAGGATTCCCCCCCCCCCCCGCACGCCCGACCCTTCTCAGTTTCAGCACCCAGCTTCCTTTTGAAGTATTTTTTGCAAGTTCTGATTGATTTCTTCACATTCTAAAAACTTGGAAATAATCGTTTTCAAGGCATTTATTTAGCAACCAAATAAAAAGTTGTTAAATACTACCTTTTATAAAAGTGTGCGGGTGTGTGGGGGGGGGGGGGGGGGGGGGGGGGGGAGGGGGGGGGGGGGGGGGGGAGAGAGAGAGAGAGAGAAAAGGGAGGGGGGGTTGGTTTACTATTGTTCTCAGGCAGAAGAAACTTCAAAGCTGATTGAATACAAGACTAAATGGAATTAAAAAGTGAGATTGTTTTAATTGAAAGTTCATTCTAGTGCAGCAGATGATATATTCTAGTAGATGATCAGTAGAAGTTTCTTGAAAGAATGAGTAAATGTCCCTGTCAATCCGTCTCCTTCATGAAGGAGCTTCATCCCTCTTTGTCAGCAAATTCATGCCATTCATCTCAGCTGCTCACGTTACCTATTGTTTAAAATGATGCCAGTGTGGTAAGTTCATCTGAACAATCAGTTTTCAGATTTCGAGCTCTCAAGATTGAGTTCTAAAGCTCTTCCATATGGTTAAGAACCCCAACAAACTTCTTAAATGTAGTTTACCAGTATTTACCACTTTAGGAATTTAAAATACAATGTAAGACCATTTAAATTAAATGTAGGTTTAAATACGCAACCTATAAATCATCAGTAAAAAGCATCTTGTCTTTACACAGCCTCTGAAGTGTTCCTTGTTAAATTAATGAGTGAGTGAAAGCTCAGTATGCCAGCTACAGATAGTTCTTACATTCCTAAAGCAGAGCAAGGCTTGTGAGGCTTAACATTTTACACTGGATAATTTGAAGGAAGCAGAGGAAACTGTCATATATAATCAGTGAGGGTATTTAATAATGTCTCCTCAGCTATTTTGCACTGTGGTAGCCAGAATGTCTTTAAAGTATTGCCAAGTGCTGTCTGATAGGGGGAGGGAAATTTCTTTTGCTAAAGGTCTACCTGCTAAAAGCAGGAAAATTTCAAAGCATATAAACCATAGAGGTGAATTATAACTATATAAAATTTAAATCATCAAATGTGCATACATGCTCACAGAATGTCACTTGCCCATAGTCATACACATGGTAAGTTAATGGTCAAAATTCTAATTCAAAAATCTGTCTCATTGTAAAATGATACTCTCACCTACAGTAGTGTGGGAGCTCTATCTTGATAGCTTAG